TCTTGCTTACAGAGATGTAAAACTATCTTATCCTGAGTCACTAAACCCAGAATTAAAACATCCTGCATCTGATCTTCCCTCTAATAATTTCCACATTAGAGATGTTAAGCGTTCCATCTCAAAATATGCTTCACCGCAACCTCCCAAAGACAATCAGTCCGGAAGCAATGCCACACTTATCACTGTTGTGTCCATCCTTATATTCAACACTGACCACATATCAAAAGTTCTTAAGAAATATAACGTCAAAACCAAATTAATCACTTGTCCAAAAATATCTCAACATATTCGAACAGTCCAAGTCAAAATTTCGTTTGAGATACTAGGCGTTAATAGCATTCCATGCACATGCCTCAAAGAATACATTGGAGAGACAGGACGAAAAATGGTATGGTCTGTGATTATTATTTATTATTTTCTATTATGGACCACAATTTTACCTGAATTTAAATTCCGAAACTTTAGGTGATATTCTTGTTGCATTGTATGTTAATGACCACCCTTGGATAATCCCATTCAAAAGCTATTAGTTACTTTCTTATATCTACGAACAGACCATAACTAGACTCAAAGAAGAAGAACAACCGATCAGCAGTTGTCGAACAAAATAATCAAACCGAACATCGAATCTCAATCGATAAAACTAAAATTCTTACATGTAATCATTCTTCTAACGACGAAAAGAATTTATAAGCAACCAAACAATGTGTTGTGAATCAGGATTCGTTGTATTAAATGTTCTGCATGTATTGGCTATAATGTGATTGCATTGTACACAACAAATTCACTGAAACAGCATTAGACAACTGGTTTTCTTCCATTTTGAATCGATTTGATCGACAAAATTTGCACCACAATCAATAAGTAATTCCAAATTAATTTAATAAGAAGGGTATTTTATGGTCAGTTTTCAAAGAAACTTGGTGTTATTCTAATAACTAAACAATTTAGGTGTAGGATTTAGGTATGATACGTCATTCGAAAAGGAGTTTAATTTAGTCCCACAATGTGTGATAATATATAGGGTTGACCGACCCTGTATAATTTCTAATTTCGATATTAATAAATTCTACCCTCCAACCCCGCTCCAAAGCCGCTTTGTTCTATCATCACTGCTGTTCTGTTCTTCCAAATTGTGTCAACAAAAACACAAACACCCATATAATCATTCCCGTTTATACCTTTTACACGATAGGTTCGGGAGAGGGGGAGGTGCGGGAGCTTATTTTAAGAATCAATGTGCAATTTGACTTTAATGTCAGTAATAATTTAGAATTGTTACTTTTGAAAATTAACTTAAAGTCCGGAACTCTTTCTCGCCCAAAATATATAAATATGAAAAATTTCATTGACGATTGTGAGAATATTTTATCTTTTGGATGTCCCAGCTTTGATGAGGAGATTTGCCTGGGAGATTTTAATTCAGAATTTTTAAATCCATATAATCATATCCCTTCCTGTCTAGAATCATTTAATGTATTTCAATTTCAATATTATTTTATCCGATTTTTATTTGTTGCAAAGAGTTGGTGGCTTCTAGTGGTGTGGTAGACATAGTGATTCAAAATTTCCGAAAAAATTGGTTGTCGGAAGAAAAACGGATTTTTTCCCGGAAAAATTGAAAAAAAAAACGGAAAATTTGGGAAAAATTGAATTTTTGTTGGAAACGAAATCCAAAAGCATTTTAGTATCCAGGGAGGTTTACGTGTTAAATATTATTCAATACAATTATTTTCAAACATATTTTATAAAAATAAGTGCAGTGTAACAACACTGACAACTTGTTTACCGGTGAATCCCCTACACATTTCCGCGAAACAAATCTGATTGAGTCCGATAAATCCCTATTACTAGAAGTGCCTTTTGTTTTTAAGTTGATAGAAGATGCAATATTTGGTATTCCCGCAAATACTGATGGTCTGTCCTGCCTGACTAGAGAAAACCTATTAAAATGTGTAAAAGAGCACTTCAGAACTGAAACGGGATTTTTTAGTGGGAATTCTCTATGGGAATCTGCGAACAATACCCATCCAGTTATATGGTGGCAGGGGTTATGTACCTCGCAGCCACTTATGCCAATTGCCTCCAGAATTTTAAATGGACTTCCATCGTCCGCTTCGTCAGAAAGAAACTGGTCTTTGCATGGTGTTATTCATACTAAAAAAAGAAATAGACTGACACAAGATAAGGTACAAAAACTTGCTGCAATTCAGTCTACCTTAAATTTAGAAGAAAATGAGAAATTTGCCTACGATTCTAGGCAAGTTCCGCTTTTGCAGTGGGCTGAAACGGATATCGAATTAAATGGAAATATCCAGGACGGCGATGTTACGGAATCAGAACCAGATTCTTTCTCCGAAGACTCGGACCTCGGCGATGAAACCCCTTTAAGTGTACTGGCTTTGCAGAAATGACGTTTTTTCACTTGCATTTTGCTTGCGTTGTCAGTTCTTCTTTTTTTTGTATACATTTTTTTTGTGTTCTTATTTTGAAATAAAGTAGGCATCTTAATTTTGTTTTTTTTATTGAAGCAACTTATATTAACCAATATATTAACTTGTTTAGCTGTCTGGCATTTAATTTAAAAAAGGTCAAATTTTTTTCCAAAACCTCGGAAAAATAGGAAAAAAAAACGGAAAAAACCCGTGTTTTTTCCCAAATTTTCCGTTTTTTTTCCCGAACCTTTAAATCTCTAGGTGGACACGAAACATAATCTGATCATAGTCGTACATTTCGTGACATCTTAATAATTAAACCAAAAACTCTCCTGAAATTTATTAAAGGGAGGTCTTTCGATAATTTTGATCGACAAAAGTTTAATGCCGAGAGCTTCCTTGGTATTTATTGATTAGAGAAAGTAATTGGCCAAAAAGTTGTTCTTATCAATTTACGATCGTCACGACCAAATAAAAGAAATAACAGTTAGCAAACCCAAAGCTTCGCATTACGAAAGTTTAACAAAACGAAAAATATTTTACCAAATATAAGGACCTCCGCAAATTTGCCATTACATGTCATCGCAAAAAAAACGCTTATTTTGATCGACTAATAGGCAACAAAACGAATCCTAAAAAGCTGTGGCACATATTAAGCGATTTTAATATAAAAGCCAATAAACGCGACAGAAATTTCTATACATCTGTCTGATCCTCAAGAGATTAAGTCCTACTTTTTAAGTTCCTTACAAACTATATCTAATAACTGCAAAAACCAAATAGATTTTTTTGAATCAAACGTTCTTGATGACTTGAACTCTTAGTTTTACTATGTCTAAAGCCCGAATCGGTAGGTTGTGTTGCGGCGTAGAGGAAATTTTTGCCCAAATACTGAAAATATGTCCTATTATTGATGATTACAAATACGCTGTTGTGTTGCTGTTTGCAAACCTCCGCCTAGAAAACCTAATCCGGAGCAATTTTCTGATCTGCGTTTTATCCATATCCTTCTAAAATTTTTGAAAAAAATGTATACAGGCAAATTTATAAATACATGATCGTGAATATGATTTTACCGGATTTTCATTGTGACTTTAGGAGGGGATGCAGTACAGCAACTGCGCTAGCCACAGTCGTAAGTGACAAAGTTGAGGCCTATGACACATGTCAGTACTCATCTTAGTAGATTTTTCAATGGCGTTTGATACCATTGATCATAAATTAATGTTAATTAAACCTAAATGTGTTTGACAATTCGGCTCTAAATTTATATAGTTGACAGGTTTCAGAGCATAAATTACAATACTAAAATTACTATATATTTTTAGTTTATACAACTAGCATTTTAAAATCTGTAGTTGCCCGCAGTGCTCAGCTCTATGCTCATTTTGATGTCAATAATGCTAAGAATACTGACTGAAACATCAATTAACAATGAATTGGAGAGTTTATGTAGTGTGGTGTGATCACCAGAAGTAAGCAATGAGGAAAAATTTCGTGTTGTGAAATTGTAACATAAATATCAAAACCAAAGAGAAAAAAACTTTTCGAAGTAGTCGATGTAATGGATATAAAGTCTAATCACTGAAGTTTCATCGGGATATAAAATTAATTTTGGGATACTAATTCACCAAACAAACCACCAAACAAGCAGCTTCAGAAACTAAGCTAATGCATTGCCTGTTTAAGAGGCTGTACCTGCTACATACACTTAGTGCTACGTAGTTAATATTATCCTATTTCAACCATTGCAATCTTAGTTTTGAGTCTAGGATTCGCATTCAAAAAACTTAGAATAGCTGTTGTAGGCATTGCTTGCAATTTTCGTAAATATCATCATGTTTCAGAAAGAATAAAAAAATTGGGTTAGAAATGGAAAAACATAGTTCCCTAAATTTGGCAAATTTTTCTCAAAGCCAATTTCAGTTACGTCATCAGAACCGTTCACGTAGTAATTTAAAAAAGATAGTGTGTTTTCAATTCCTAAATATCATACTTCATTGAACTGAGGTGACTTTTACTTAAATAAATAAGAACTAAAAGTTCAGATTTTCACGAAATTATATATTTTGACATGACAATTGTTTCGACATTTGATAAAGACACGGTGTTGTCATGTCAAAATATATAATTTCGTGAAAATCTGAACTTTTAGTTCTTATTTATTTTGATCATACTTCACTGTTCAGAAGAACCCAGGTCTAATGCAATTATGTTGTAGAATTCCCTGCTAGAAATAAAAAAAAACTTTCTTTAAAAAAATTTAAAACAGAATTTAAAAAATGCAAACTTTCTAATAATTTGTGCGTGTGCGTTTTTTTTATATCAGCTTCTATTTTTTGTCTGTTATTTTTGATGTCTACTTGTTTTTCTCTCGCTTCTAGTAGTTAAGTAAAATAGCTCTTAAGCTTGAATAATTTTGAAAGAAATGTAATTAATAAAAGACGTATTATTATTATTATTATTATTATCAGCGAAATAAAACCAACCAGCTTTATACACCAAATTAATTTATTTCTCGTATCATGTAAAAAATGTAACAAAAACAATCAACAACTTTGGCAAATCACAGTCGCAAGCTTCTCAGCGTCCAGATCCGTGTCCCCAGTGGGTGATACCGACGTAGCTGGTTCCACCGACTCCACCGTGCCCATGACCGTGTTTACCATAATGGGCCGGATGCTGGGCATGACCGATCCTCTTCACGACGGCTTGGAACCCTTCGTGAGGACCGGATGTGTACTCCACAACCCTTTTGGTGCCGTCGGCTTCCTTCAGCGTGTAACCTCCTTTGACGTGGTCTCCATGGCGATGTTCATGCTGATCCTTGACGTCGTGAGTGTGAGGATCATGCACGCCGTATTCAAACTGGTAGTGAGCCGGGGCCTGGAGATGGAATGTTTTTGGTTATGGGGTACAGTGGATGGGGTGGACACTTACGTGGTGATCCCCGCCATCATCACCATGACCGTGACCGGGGTAAGCAACGGAGGCTGAAATTGCAAGGGCTGCGATGGCGATGACCTAAAGTAAAGTTAACAGTTATGTATGTAAAATGAAGAAACCAATCGAGGCTGTAATTGAAATCCACGAAAACTGTCATTGATCATTATCATGGGAGGAAAATCTTCGGACTAATAAATCGTCTCGATCTTTCTGTGACCGCGAAAATTGCTTCGAAATCATCGAAAGATACGGGAAGATGATTAGATTTCATCTTGTGAACTCAAACGAAAGCAAAAAAATCAATACCAAAGTGAAAAGTACTGAAATTTCATCGAGATATATTATTCTAATTTTATGAACCAACCCAGTTGTCTGTTAAAAATTATTGCTTATTTGTTAACGACAAAATTATCTATATACTACAAAACTACAAGTATTCTTGTAATTTATACCTAATTTTAAAAATGCCGTTAAAGAAAAAATCGAAATAATAATTGCATGCTGATTCTGCTCGTTGTAGCAGAAAAGCTGTTGCTTCTTTTACACCTGGAAAAGCAGCCGTTATTTTAATTGAAACTGACAGTGTTATTTCAATATATCAGAATGGCGAAAACAACCCCATCCTCAGAATAACGATGGATATATCGTCTCATCAATCGTCACAAAATCAAGCCCTATAAACTAGAGTTCGTACATTAAAAGAAGACGATGAAAATAAAATATTAGATTATTGTTACTGGTCCCAAGGTAATTTTTTAAAAGATGAGCATTTTCTGAAATAGATTATGTTTACCGATGAGCCTACAATCACCACCAATGGGGTTGTATAGTTTCAAAATTGTAGATAGTGGGTCAGAAATAAGCTCCACTGGGTTATAAAATGTAAAAATCAATATTGAGGAATTATGAGATACTACGACAAGTCCCGTTAAGGATTAAAACAAAAATTTCCTATGCGCTGGATATTAAAACACTCAAATTTTGTTTTTGGGTAGTGATAAAAAATAAACCTCAAACATGGCCCAGAAATCGAGACGAACTTTGTGGTAGAACAAGACAAGTCTGTCAAAAAATTGGCATCCGAGAACTTAACGAGTATACCGACAGATTCTTGATAGAATTGAAAAATGTATGTTGAAAAATCAAAATTAATGTTGTAATTATCTTCCTTAATTTAATAAGTTGGCTATCAAGAATGAATGGTTTAAATTACATTATTAAATTGACCATATTGTAGAGCAGTGTTTTCCCAACTGCTAGGCGATCATAATAAAACATTTTATTCTATTGCGTGCAGGAACACATGATTTACATTGCAGGCCCGCAAATTCGTGTGATGTCAGTAATTTGTAGCACCTTGCGTTCTACAAACGCCACAGACCCCTGCTGCTTGCTGTTAATAATCGTAAGTAATTTAGTTTTAGTATGGATACATTTTCGGTTGGTTATAAGAGAACGAAGGTATGGATGGAAATAAATAAACAACAACAAAAAAAAACAACAAAGGCCCTGGAGAAAGAACTCCTATTTCCTATTTATTATTAGGATTTACAAGTGCCATTAATGAGAATACGAAAAAAACAATGTTTTTGATGTGTTTTGAAAGAAAATTGTATGAATTTAATAAATAAAAGCGAATGTTCAAGAAAATTGGTAATGTGCTTTTAAATTCATTACTGGCATTGTGCCAAATTCCTTACAAAATTGCAAAGTGTAATAAACCCCACACAACAGGCGAGACCTTAGTTTTACCGACAGCTATTGACATGGTTAAAATAATATTTGGCGAATCTTACGCCAAACTTGCTCGTAATACAGTTGGCAGAAGAATGAATGATATATCTGAAGATCTTTGTGACCAAATAATTTGGCTTACTTCAAAATTTGCTCTACGAGTAAATGAGGCAACTTAGAACTAGATAAAATAAAGATGCACTTGATCGGTATATTGAAGACACGAACATAAGTGAGGATATATTATTTTGCAAAGCTATTCCTGGCAAAGCCACTTCCAATGAAATCTTTAAAATAATTGACACTTTTTTTGATGCGAATGAAATACTATGCACTAATTAAAAAAAACGAAAGTAACAAAAACGTCCATTAGGTAATTGATTATTCGCAAAACTGTGTGAAAATATGCTATCTATGGAATGCTTCCTATATTATTGTGCTCAAATGTAATTCAAAGCGTGCTTGCAAGAAAACAATCATCTTTCTTGATTCTGACGTCATCGTTAAATTTACGCACTTGGCGGAAATTTTTGCAAAAATAAGTGTTTTTAATAAGGCGATGCAAGGACCGCAAATGTATTGTCTAATTCAAAAAGACAAAGTGACAGCTTTAATAAAGAAATTGGAGTTGGATAGGTCGAATTTGCAAAAAATAAGTTTGTTATGTTTCCACTTTTAAATTTATGTGCTGCGGATAGTATAGAATTAAACAAAAACATACTTATTGATTACTTGCATTCTTTGATAATACAATTCTCGAACTATTTTGAAGATCTTGATGTCACAAAGTTTGCATGAATTGACAACAGTGGAAAAGTAACAATCGATCGACTTGTCATGTGACACTTCTATAAAACAAAAATATAAGACAGAAGCCTTGGTTCATTTTGATTGAATTTAAGTTCAGAATATAATACATTGTCAATTAATGCAACAAAAGTCCTGCCGTTATTTGCAACATCTTACGTACGAGTTTTCTGCATTGCATGTAATGAAATCGAAGTATAGATCCTGTTTAGTTATAGAGGAAGAGCAACGAGTGGCAATCTCATCAATCCACCAAAATTTTATATTTATAAAATTATTCCTTAGTTATGTTTCTGTTTTTCTATTAAAACAAAATTGTGTTTATTTTTAAAAAGGATTTGTATTAGTATTTTGTAATTTTATTTTGTATTGAAATAAAATTATATTTGTATTTAATAAATTTGAGTATTGGCCAAAATAACCAAAAAACTGCGGCTTTGGTATGAAATTTGATAAGTGATGTTATTCCAAAAAACTTTTTCAAATGACTTTTTCCGATATCTCTAACGCGAAGCAAAATATTGAAAATTGATTCTAGTTTTGGATTCGCAGTTTAAAATTTTATTTTCAGTTGAGTATCTCAAAAACTTCAAAACTGTATTTCTTTAGATAGCTAAAATATTCGGGTATCTTAAATGTGACGCACTCTATAAAGAGTGTTTAAAATAAATTGATACAATAACAGAAAACTTACGGCGAAGGTGTTCATTTTGTTTTCCGCGTAACCGAAACTGAAGGCAAACCAAATTTCGAACTGACATTTACCGTCTAGGATCACTCTTTTATATCCAAAATCGATCGATACGAAATCGGCCGGTTTGCAAATCCGCCGCCCAAAAAAAAGTTTTCGAAATCAAAATTGGGCATTTCGATAGGCCCAGGCGTTGCACCCGCATGTCCCCCATTGTTTGTTAATAATTTTGACGAAATGTTCGCGCCGTCTAAAAATCGCACCGAAAAAATCGGCCGAGACCAATCGGGTATTTGCATAACCGCAAGATCGTTTTTTTCCTGTCCGATAGATTGTTTAATTCTTACGGTTGGTAGCGCTCGAGTCATGTTAGTTTTCAATATTTTTGAATTCATAGGTGCATATGTTTTTTGTCAGACCGCATTTACGCGATGCCAGGACAGCGCTGTCGGAAACTGAAGGCCCATAGCTTTGAATGCTCGTAAAAATTTTGAAAATCTAGATAACCGAAACTATGGAAAAACATGTACAGGGTGTTCCATTTAGCAGGAAAAACCTATTTAAGAACTAGACAGAGCAAAATCATCAGGGGCTCGATTTTTGAGAAAAATGATTAAAACGGCACGGCTATATCTTCACTGCCAACCGAGATATAGAGTTTTTTCCAATTTTGAACATGCATTTTTTACTTATGAACATTTTGGATTCAGATAAAAATATTATTAAGACTTTTTTTCTCATAAATGAGGAACATTTAAAATAATTTTATAAACAACAAAAACTTTAAAAAAGTTACCAATTATCCAATTTAAAATAACTTGCCCATAACTTCTTTATTTCTGAAACTTTGGATACCGATAAAATCATCATCAAGGCGAAAGTAGTGACAGTGACAGTTTTCTAATAAAAATAACAACCTTCCTATTTTATATGTCTATGGTTGAAAATTTAACCTTTTACACTAATTTATTTATTATACTAAGTCCTAGTTATCCTCTAACTTCGCGTTGGTTTGGAAAATTGTATATATATAAAAGATCTTTTAATATTAAAAAAAAATCTGTTTCTGTGTTCCAGCGATAAGAATTGTATCTGTTAAATATTCCGGAACAAGAAAATCTCGTTTTACACTTCAAACAATAAACAATGGAAAATTAATGTTCTGATTGCATTTTCCGATATAATTCATAATCGTATAATTCTGGTAAGATATGGCCTGAATTTATATTTTTTGAAACTAGTCAAAACTTTAGATTTTCTAGTATTTGTTGCGTCAACTAGTACTTCTCCAATTATATTCAATTCCCGAATTTTCTGTTCTTCATTTAAATGGTTTTGATTTTGCCTTGCCTATGGATATATATTGAAATAAAGTTCATTGGCTGCCTCGGCGTGTACCTTTGAAAAATGTCACACTTTATAATATAATACCTTTCATAATTTTGGTACATTTTAAATTGCTAAATGAACTGAAAGTTTGACCCCTAGCATTATGTGTGAGAGAATACAAAAAAAAGAATAAAAATTATATCCTTAACTTAACCTTAACCTTTAAATTCTTTTTTCCTGTTAAAATAATACAATAACGACAACCCTGTACATCATTTTTGCAAGTTTTTATATAACATTATTTAAAGCAAATATTGGTACTTTGTTATAGTGTTCATGATGTTCAAATGAGATATGGGATTAAATTATCGATTCCACCCTATCAGTAGATTTACTAAACTTCAGTTTTGAAAATTTTAAATTTAAATCTAAAAGATGTTCCCTTTTCTTTTCCATGGTAACTATGTAATCGTACGTAATCTAAATTGTATGATATTAGTGCAAGTTTGACATTGTTTAACAGGGTTATTCTTTCTTAAAATAATATTTTTAAAGTACATGCAAGTTATGTTATTATTACTATATTTTTTATTATTATTTGAATAATTGACATTGAATTTGACTACTTAAAATCTTTACTGAATAATGAAAATTTGAAGACACAATTTGGCTCTTTGTTTGTTGGTCTTTTTTAAGTAAAACTTTATATTTGTTTTATATAACATTTTTATGTTTTTAAATTTAAACATATTTAGACATATTACGATTTTTTCCTGACGAAACTTTCTTTTGTTTTATTGATATTAGTGAATAAATGTGTACTCTACTCTACTCTGCTGTATTACCATAGACCGTCCAATTAATTGAGCCAAAAATGACTAAAAGCAGAAAACATCGTTAATAGCATTATCAAGTATTAATATTATTAAAATTGCCTTATCAGCGCCCAGTTTTTAGTATATGTTATTAATTGACTACAAACGTAGCTAGTTAACAGGCCAGTACTTTCGGAAAGGCAATGGCATTGTTTAATTGAAAATGCCTTGACCCTGAGACCTTTCTTCGGTGTTGATGGAATTTAATTTTATCCAAATATTCCTTCTATTTTTGCCCACCTAAGGGAAACCATAAGCTTCGAAATGTTGGTTAGCAGTCACAAAACACTTACATTTAATCAGCGATATTTTAACCAGATCACAGAAGTCGCGGGTTGAATCCCCGTATCTCGATAAATTACAATCAAGCCCGATATTCTCGTAATTATCAATCAACGAAAAAACATTTTCGCTAGTAGGCGTGGAACGCGTGAAATAAAACAAATGAAGCCGCGCGCGCGGGACCACCCACTCCGATCAGGCAACCCTCGACGCAATCGTAGAAATTCACCCCGCACTGGTGTCATAACGGTCAAATTGGGTTTAACTCTCGAGATGATCACGACGATACCGGGATTTTTTCCTTCGCCCAAAACGATTGACTAATGGTGGCGGTTGTAAATTAAGTTGTAGTTAAGGACGGCCGTCTTCGTTTTTTAATTAATCCCGATTTTTTTTGGCCGCTTCGGCGCGCGAGATGCGTATCTGGGGTTGTTTTGATTAATGATTTTGGAAGCGGACAAAAATGCGCGATATTGTGATGATTTTTTCCCCCCAAAAAAGACCATCCGGGAATTTATCTACTCATTTAATTAAAAATGGAGAATTCAGATTGGTTTGAAAACACAATAATGTTGATCTCAGTCCTATCTTTGCGTAGGCAAAGATAGGAAACTCCAAAAGAATCCAAAATTATAACGTTTCATACACAACTCTCGCTATTCTCCACCAATTTCTAAAAGAATATATTATATAGAGGGTGTCCAAATAGTTTGCGAAAGAAATATTTAATTTAAGATTATTTTCAAATACACTGGGCGATTCATAAATATATTTGGAACCAAAGTTGTATTTTTGAAATGGAACATTCCGTACATTACTGCATTTTATACTTAGCATACAATTATACGGGCTTTTTTTTATCAAGAATGTGTTTGACACATATATATTTTTTACGCCATTCCCGACATCTGTAATTTTATTATGCCAACAATTTCATAAAGTATTACAGTCATTTATCCTATACTTGTCTTGGGGTTAGCTCGAATCGTTTCCGCAGGGTGAGTCAGAATGAAAAATATTAATTTTCGTGAAAAAATCCTGTGTATTATAATTCCAATAATTACTCCTCTTAATGTACTTTCAATTTTATTAAGCATCAGAAAACATCACAATAAGCAAAGAAAAATAAAAAATAAAACTTGAAATGTTTAGATTTGTGAAAGAAATGTTTCCTTTCTTTCCATGAATTGAACTATTAAATAACATTCTAAGTACTGATGAGCGCTTGCACACTAAGCCCATCAAATTGCGATCACGATGGCTAGGAAGTGGTGATCCGATTAGATGGCCACCTAGATTTCCTGATCGAACAAATATAGACTATTTTCTGTGTGGTATGTTAAAAACCAGGTGTACCCACAACAAAAGAGGTCATGAAACATGGGATAAAATATGTCTTTCAAAGTGTTAGTCATGAAATTCTGTCGAATCCTGTCCAATCGTTTAAAAACCGTATTGGAGCGTCTATCGAAATCGATGGGAGACATTCTTAAAGAAATGTCCGTCTCAAGCCCTTTTCAGCCATATAGATAAGGCCATATGGTTTCATTTTAGTTCATTTAGCAATTTAAAGTGTACCAAAATTATGAAAAGTATATGACAAAGTGTTACATTTTGTCAAACAAAAACGCGAAGACAGCCAACGAACTTTATTTGAATACATATCCAGAGCACCAACCAGACTATTTCTAACGTTGAAGGCAAGGCAAAATCAAAACCACTTAAATAAAGAACGGGAAATCCCGGAATTGAATATAATTTTAGAGGTATTGGAAAATCAAGCGTATCCTCACGGGCACTAGCTGACTAAACAAATGCTAGAAAAACTAAAGTTGACTACTTTAAAAAAACATAAATTTAGCCATATCGTACCAGCAAATTCCACCAATTACATGAACGGGATGGCGATAGAATACAATTTTTGCAATTTGTTTATCGGAAAATGCAATGAAAACATGCAATTTTCCATTGTCCATTGTTTGATGTGATGAAGCGAGAATTGACTGTTCCTGAACATTTAACAAATACAATTCTTATCGCTGGAGCACAGAAAATCTTCATGCTGTAGTGTGTAGTGTATTAAAATCAGCAGGGTCGCTTTGGATTCAATGTATGGGTAGCAATTTTCCAGGTAGATTTGTGGGATTTTATTTTTCTTATGTAAATCTTTCAGCGGATAGTTATATAAATATTTTTTGAACATTTTTGGAAGACTGGAGATTAATTCTTGGAATTATGCAAAAGTTCAATTTTAATATTTCTTGTGTTTTGTTTGCTATGTTAAAATAACTATAATTTTGTGATCCATATAATCGAAATATTGAAATTAAATATTAAAAATAATATCGAAAATGTTTTTTAATTAAGTTATTTTAAATTGGATTTATCTTTTTAAAGTTCCGATATTTATTAAATTATTTTAAAGGTTTTTATGTGACGTCTCTTTGAACATATTATGCACGGCCTACTAAGATATAAACGAAAATGTCCTATATTTCCGCCTTTTTCCATCACAGATACTAACAAATCTATATGGCTGAAAAGGACTCGACAGGGACATTTTTTT